GATGCTACTGGACCTGCTGACTTTTGCCAGCAATTTCTGTTTTTGTTTCGGATTTTCAGTATCCGTAGTTCTTTTGGTTCTGAATCTAGTGAAGTTTGGAAAACTAACATCCACTATCTCATTAGCAACCTCTTTTAAGACCTTAGGATGAACTCCATCTGGACTCAAATTCTTGATAGCCCTCAGCTCCATCCTTTTGCCTAACACCATTTCCCTCATGATTGAAATTTCACTAGAATTCCTCCCTCCCTTCAATCTCCTGTATTACAGCTATTACTGGAACGATTTTTGTTTCCTCTATAGTGAAGACAGCAGCAAACTATTTATTCATTTCAACCACCATTTCCTTATTATCTACAAAAACTCCCATTCTCACTTTCTAGAAGACCAACCCTCACTTATTCTTTTCCTTTAGAAATATCTGGAGAGATTCTTGCTTTTTTTTAACATTTCTTGCAAGCCTCCTGTCATATGCTAATTTATTCCTCCCAATTAATCTTACAGTCATTCTGTGCTGTTCTTTACATTCTGTCCGTTCATCTGACCTGCCTCTCATCTTTCAAAGTTATGCTTTTTCTTTAAGTTCGATGCTTTCCCTAACTTCTTTAGTCAACCACAGACATAGTCCTTCTTTCAGAATGTTTCTTTACAGAAGGAATAATCTTATTCTGAACATTCTGAAATGTCCCCTTAACTGTCTGCCACTGTGCCTCTATCTGTCTGTGTCTGTATCTATCCCCAAGCTTTGCGTTCCAGTTCGCTTCAGCTTTCATATTGATATATTGCTTTTTTTTTGTAAGTTTGAGATACTTGTCATAGGCCCACTCTCAATTTTATGCACCCTATGCCAACTTGCTTGCAGTTTAGGTAATAATCCAGCATTTATAACTTCGAGATTCTTTTTAGTTTAGTGCCTATATCCTCATAATCTCCATGCAGAACTTCCTTCCTAATTCTACCTAAGTCATTAATACCTACATTGACCACAACCACTGGATCCTGCCCCTCCTACAGTGTGTTCCTCTCCAGCCCTGAGCAGATGTCTGGAATCCTGGCACTGAGCAGGCAACACAGCTATCTGAACTCTTTTTGGCGTTAAGAACAGTGCTAATCTGCCTCACAATGTTATCACTACTACCACATTCCTTGTTGCTCCCCTGTTTGAATGGCTTCCTGGAACACAGTGCAGTAGTCAATTTGCTCACCCACTCCGCAGACCTCCTTTTACACAAATAGGTTGAGAGAACCTTAAACAATTGCAGAGGCCAATACTCTGACCCTCCGATTCCCCTTACCTGCCTCACTGTCACTACTTCCTGTTCCCGAACACTGCACAAATGAGAAGACCATATCCTAATGTTCAAGATTTTTTTTAGTATAGTTGATGTAAGTATCTAATCTAAGTGTTAGTTTAGTTTCAGTGTCTGTTTATTGACAAACTTCTAAATGTAATGTACCTCCCATGATTGACCTGTTTGTTAATTTTTCTGCCAAGGTTTGTTGATACACATAATTTTTTAGTCCACTGAATGAATTTTCACATTTTGCAATCCAGCAACCCTACCTTTATCTCTTCAGTAACTTTGTGGTCACTATTCTGTGACTGTTCTCTTACTCTCTACCAGCCAATGATGTTATTTAATTTCCAGAAGCATATTAGGCAATATTGCTTTCATGACCTGTAATCTTGGTTGCATTATTAAATGTTTTCCCACTTTAAGCTACAGTATATTTTGGGACAATTAAAACTGTCCCGTATTATTAAGAATTAATTGAGTATCATTGCCTTATGTATTTGAACATGTCCCTGAGAGTCTGTCGATCTACCTTTCCTACCTTCGGTGTTTGGTAATTTGTAAACCACAGCAAGAGCCATAATTTCCCTTTTAACTTCTTAATTCTTTCCGTATGGATCCTGTATGTTGCAAACTCCATCATTATCTTTTAGTGATCTGATGAATTATTCAGGAACAATCCCACTTCACAATGTTTATGGTAGGCTCAAATAGGTGGTTGGGGGGCCTGTACTGGTGTTGCTGTGCAGTTAAAAAGAAAATCCAAAGAAATTTGTAGAAATGCCAGCCTGATTGGAAGAGCTTCTCATTGTCAGTATCTTTCACTGAATCTGTGTGAAGAAATATAATCAGGTATGTTTTTTTAATTGGGATGGTCATTCTTTCAATATTTCAATGGTTCTTTGTTAGCTTTGGAGATTACACAGCTTTAGTGTATAGTTTTCCAAAAGTACTATCAGAATCTACTGGACATATGCTACACATGAAATAAGACTTTGATTGTTTAAGTGGCCAACTCTCATTCCTTGTAAGAACTACCAAAATGCCTAAAATAAAAACAGAAAATATTGGAAACACTGAGCAGGTCACACAGCATTTATGGAGTGAAACAGAGTTAGAATTTTGTCATGATGACTGTTAATGGAGGGTCAATGTGGCCAACCTCTCCTTCTTTCCACAAATACTGTCTGAATGAGCATTTCCAGCATTGTCTGTTTTTACTTCAGATTTCCAGCATCTACAGATTTTTGGCTTTTATATTTCTGTGGAATTTAGTCCTTCAACTTGATAATCCAATAGTAATGGAGTAAGGCAAGCATGATAGTGACTTTGTCGAGCAATCGATTTCCTGTATTTGAATTTGCTGGTCCATGACAGTAGTCTTTTATACAGTAATCATATCCACTAAATCACAGATGTCTTAGTACAAGTTAAAATAGATTACTTTCTAAAAAAACTAACTTCTTTGCAATTACAGAGTTATTATGAAACAAACCACGTGCTACTTAAAACTAATGATAATGTCACAAAATATACCTTAACGACAGATTTTTTTTAGGACATAACTGGCAATGTTTGCTATATCACCAAGCTTTCTAGTATCTGAAATCATATTTTCTTTCGCCAAGTGCAGGTCATTTACATATATCTAAAAAAGCTATGGTCCTAAATTGACCCCAAGGGAATCTACTGCATATTTTTCTCCAAGTAAAAAACGTTTTCAACTCTTTTCTCTGTCCCCATCACTTAGGATTCTGGGTAATCCAAGATGGAGGATGAGAAAAAGATTTGGCTATAACCACTGCTCCTTTTTTGAGGTATTTTCAGTGTTGGAGCTGATGTCCTTGAATACTAGGAGCAGTAATTACTGTTTTATAAGCCGTTACATTGTTTTGGAACTTTGGGGGAAAAAAGTCAAAGCAATGGCACTTTAAAAAGGAGGAAGACAGACAAAGGGCAGTGACCAGATGGGCTGTGATTCAAACGGAGAAAGTAGCCTACACTGCTGTCTGACCGAGCAGTAACCTGTACAGCTGCTGCCTTTGCTGTTTGTTTTCAAGAATCTCTGGACATTGGAGTTCGTTCTAAGAAAAATTACATATCTAACTTTTTATTTGTTTGCTCAAGTGATGTGGTTTTCCTGGTGAGAGCCATAGCATTTTTAAGAATGGAAAGAAGCCTTCGGCCAATCACGTCTGTGTTGTTCATCAAACATTCATCTATTTCAATACCATTTTCCAGCACTTGGCCTGTAGCCTTCAAAGCCATGACCTTTCAAATGTTCATTTAAATACTTCTTCAACGTCTCAAGTGTTCCTGCCTCTACTACCCTTTAAGGCAGTGAGTTCCAGATACCCATAGCCCCCTGAGTGAAAAGTGCTTTCCTCGAATCCCTTCTAAACCTCTTGTTCCTTACTTTAAAACTGTGCCCTCTATTTATTGACCCATGTACTAAGATGAAATATTTCTCTCTACCTACCTTGGTAATGCCCCTCAGAATTTTGTACACTCCAATCAAATCCCCTCTCAGCCTTCTCTGCCATAAGGAAAACAACCGCAGTCTACCTAAGTCTGTCCATAATCCTAATGCACAGTAGACCATTTCAGGCTTGAAGGAACCCAACAGTGAAAATTTGACAAAAATAAAAAAAAATCTACTAAGCAGCAATGAGATTTTAATGACAATGCCTAATTGACCAATCCTGTGTCCTGGTTCCCAATTTTCTTTGACCATGATGCTCCTTTTTAATAAAAAAATATTCATAAGCTGCACTCACACCAATGGCTGCCAATTTGGATCAGCGTATTTTCCACTTCCTTATTGTCCTACCTGCATCTTGCTCCCCCAACCTGGCTTCTGATTGGGAGACTCACCTGTGTCGAAGTAATTAAGACGCTGGCCCTGTGAAAATCCTGCCTCCCACCACATTCTACTCAAGCATGAATCATGGATTAGTGTATCTCCCAACTCCCAGTACCAATGGGATAATCTGGCCCTTATTGTGAAGAAATTTTTATACAAATGTCAGTAGGAGAGTTTGTAAATAAAATAATTTCTTTAAGAACTAAACTCATTATTCTAAGTTTTATTTGTTTGAATGTGCATCTAATTTAATTTTGTTTCAATGAAAATTAATTTTACATACTTTTAAAAGCTATTATTTCACACCTATAAATGTTCTAGTCATTTTAATCTGTGGTTGTGTTCTAATTAATGTTTTCCACTTTCTGTTAAGCATAAGATAGGTACTTCCCTTTTCAATGACAAAACTGCGCACAATTGCCATAAATGTTGCTTCACCGCATTTGACAGAAGGTGCTTTGGTGAAGCATTGCTTTCTCCTGTGATTACTGATACATGAATCCATGCTGGAACCACTGAACTCTTCCATGTTTGGATAAGCAGGGTCCAAATGTTGTCAAGTTGAGAATTTGAACCTCCGTCTCTACTGCAAGAGTTCACAATGCTGTAGGAATCATAGATCCCAATTAATTCCTAATTAATTGCATTGAAAACATTCCCATGAAAATTTGGTCATTTATATTGATACATATTTAGATGATCCATATCCATGATGTAAACTATTTAAGTTCAAAGATATAAATTATATTTTAGAAGAATCAAAGTAGATACAAGCTTTGTTATTGATTTTCATAGAAAATTTTATCTCATTTTAATGATATTTGAATTCATTATTTCTGCAGAGTTATATCCATGGGAGCAGCCAAGCTCAATTTGTTGCGGAGTCCCACATAATACTTCTCCTCAGTATCCTTTGAAATATCTGTCATGAAGTGACAAGGTAACTATAAAGCATGTGTATTTTGCAGAGAAATTATATTAAAAATTATAAACTTTGAAACGTATATATAAACAGGACTAGAAAACAATTTGACAAAAATAAAAAAAATCTATCGTGAATGATTGATGATAGTCTGAATTAATGCTTATTGTTAGTTAATTTTAACCTCTGCTAAACTTGGACAATACATGCAGCAGATTCTATGTGACCTAATACAGAAAGTACACCTCAGTTTACACTAAATTCGTATTGAGCCATTGTCTTCTGTTCCAGTGGAAGCCCATTTACAGTCTGAACACACTTGTTCTGTCATTTTATACATTCAGGTTTCTTGCCTTTTGGCTCAACATGGAGACATAAATCAGTTGGTCCTGAACTCAACTAGATTTGACTATATTTTGAGTGAAATGCTACCGTTATTAATAAGAAAAGTTAAGCAAACTGATGGAGTGTCAATTTTTTAACAATTGTATAATAGAAATGACATTGTTTGGAATCTAAAGAAAATCCAACTCCAGGTGGTTGTATTTTCAGTTATTTATGTTAATAAATAATATAACATTTTTCAGCAACTGATATATTAAATATTCACTTTATTTTTCTCTTGAAAATTGAATATTTCCAAAGCATGCCATTTGCAAGACTGTCTTTAAAACAGTAAGAAGAAATCTTACAACTGACAAGATGAACAGATCTCTCTCAGTGACTGAGAAAGGTTCCAAATATCTGTATCTCTGATTAGCTCAAAAACCCTGAAAGCTGAACTGTAACTTCTTTTCAGAAGCCTAAGCCTAACTGACTTTAGGTCTAAATTGAATCTGATTTGAAGATTTTACATCACTGTATGGCTGTCAACATTTCAATCTCCTTGAATAGAAAGTAGGTTACTGAGGGAAGTTGTTTTAACCTTTGAGTTCATAGCCTTGGCCTGAAACATATCCCATCTCCATTTTGCTTTTGTTTTCTTCAAGAAAAAGCACCATACCTTCTTTGTAAAACTATATTTTCCTGTTTGTTGTGTGAATGTGTTTGTTTAGGTTTAAGGGGATCTAGTTTAATTGCATAATATAGCTTAGTTGTTAACCAGTTGTTCTACTTGTTTAAAGAACAAATTTTGTTTATAATGAGCAAGTTATTTTTGAGTTTATGAAAGAAACCTGGCAAAAGTATGTTGTTTTGAGGGAGAGTCACTGGACTTGAAATGTTAACTCTGCTTTCTCCTTAGATGCAATTTCTGTACTTGTTTCAGATCTCCATCATCTGCAATTCTCTGTTTTGTAAAAGTATGTTGTTTCTGAATATTGTCAGAAGTCAACAGGTTTATTTAAAAATCACAAGCTTTCAGAGCGCTGCTTCTTCATCAAGTGAAGTCATTTCTGGAACCATCTTCTGGAACCAACCAGAAAACAAGCTCTATTACATCTGGTATTGTGAAACAATATATGATCAAATAATGATCTCATGGCGAATATGCCTGCGTTAGCAATGACCATAATGCGATTGAATTTTACATCTGTTTAATGGAGAGAGAATGGTTCAGAGACCTTTGTAAAAAAAAAACAAAGGGCAGTTATGATTGCATGAAAGCAAAGCTAGCTAAAGTAAGTTGGCAAATTATGCTAAAGGACAGGACAATGGAGATAGAGCAACAGATATTTAAGAAACTTCAGAATATTTCAGTATACACAGAATAGGTACAAACTGAATACATAAGAAAAAAATGGTGTGGACCCACCATCAATGATTAATGAGTAAGATTAAAGTTAGTATCAAATTTACAAAAAATACGTATAATTGTGTAAACACAGGTTATAGATGAGATAATTCTACTGAATGCCTTTAAAAAAAAACAACAAACAACCAAAATATCATTAAGGAGGGAAAAAATCAGTGAGGGGGAACTAGCCAGAAGTATAAAAACAGATGGTGAGAGCTTCAATAAATATATATGTAAGGAAAGAGTTAACAAAGCGAGCATTGATCCTTTGAAAGTGATTGTAGAAAGTTAGTAATGTAAAATAAAAAAGATGGTGGATGAATTGAACAGGTATTTGCATCAGTTGTCACTCTGGAGACAATTTGCCTCTTGAAAAATTTAGCGCATTGGTTTAAATTTTTCAAAACTCCCAGTTTTTGTTTTTGGACCCTTTTGATTGGATGACAGCAAAATGTAACTTGTCTATTAAAACTGGAGGAAGACAGAAAAAAGGAGAAATTATGGGCCAGTTAACTTTATCTCTCTAAAAGAAAATGTTAGAAACTATTATTAAAGTGGCAAAAAGAGGCCACTTAAGGTAATCAGCCACAGTCAGTGTGGTGTTCTATAGGGGAAATCATGCTTAAACAACCTGTTAGAGTTCTGTCAAAAGTAACATTTGATGAGAATGTAGGGTAGCTAGTGAACTTACAGAAGGCGTTATGATAAAATGCCGTATCAAAGGCTATTCCAGAAAATAAATTTCTGGTGCAGTGAATAACATACTGGTGTGGATAGAAGATAATAAGGTGTAGAGCTGGATGAACACAGCAGGCCAAGCAGCATCAGAGGAGCAGGAAAGCTGACGTTTCGGGCCTAGACCCTTCTTCAGAA